AAGTGCGGGGCCTACACTTGGTCTTGTTGAAGTTCATCCCGTTGGCCTCAGCCCAGCCATCCAATCTGTCCCGATCCCTCTGTAGTTCCTCCCTACCCCCAGGCGGATCAACACTTCCTGCCAGCTCGCTGTCATCTGCAAACTTACTGAGGGTGCACTCAGTCCTCTCGTCCAGGTCATCAACAAAGATATTGAACAGGACAGACCTCAGTATCGACTCCTGGGCAACACCACTCATTACTGGTCACCACCTGGATTTCATTTGCCACCATGCTCTGGGCCCGGCCATCCAGCCAACTCTTTACCTAGCAAAGGGTGTACCTGTCCAAGCCGTGGGCTGCCAGCTTCTCCAGGCGAATACTGTGGAAGACAGCCAAAAGCTGAAGTCTAGGTAGACTAAGTAAGCCTTTCCCTCATCTATCAGGTGGGTCATTCGATCACAGAAGGAAATCAGGGTGGTCAAAGTAATGCCTTCTGTTTTATTATGTGGGCCCACGACATCAGAGGTAGTTGTTGGTGGCATGGCAGCAGAGATTGAACCTCCCTGCTGATACTCCATTACATTTTGTTGCCGTGTGACAGATGGCAGCCGAGGGGCAGTCCGACAAAATAGCATCTGACACGGAAATGTGTATGAAGCAAAGGTATGGAATGGAATTCCTCCAAGAGGAAAAAAAATGGCACCTTTTGATATTCATTGACACTTGGTGAGCATTTATTGAGACTAACAGTGGATGCAAGCACCGTAAGGTGCTGAGTGGTGCACTTCAGGAGCAGTGACAGCAACTTGAAAAACAAACCACATTTTAACAGCCAGGTATAGCTGTCACACCATGAAATGAAGAGTGTCTCAATCAGCTCACCCACGTGAATTGGTGGACTACAACCAGGGAACTGTGCATGGAGCTGAATATCAGCTTCAATGTGTTGGAAATGATAGTGGCAACATAGGAATATTGCAAACTTTTCGCCAGGTGTGTCCCTTGTATGCTCATACAGAAAGAAGAAAAAACATGGTTTTCAAGTTTGTCAGGACCTATTGAACTAATGAAAGTGACAGCTTCCTGGTGACGAGATGTGGGGTCACCACCATGAGCCAGAGTCGAAACAGCAGTCCATGGAGTGGCACCATGTGAATTCCCCATCAATGAAGAAATTCAAGACACAGCCCTCAGCAAGTAAACTGAAGCATGTTGTTTTCAGGCAGGAAAGGGATGATTCTTCTGGTTTTCCTATAACCCTGACAAATTATCAGCTCTGATCACTACATCATGATACTAAGAGTCAGGCCAGAGAAGAAGACAACCTTTCTCTTGCAATACGATAGCACCAGGCCCCATACCCATTTGACATTGACCATGGAGCATTGACTGACCCATTGACCATGGAACACATTGCCTTGGCTGGACTGTCCTACCACATCCACCATATAAGCTTGGATTAGGTGCCTCCTTGACTTCCATCTGCTCAAACTGATGAAAGACAGACTGTGTGAGCAACATTTCGGCAGCAATGACACCATCGTAGCAGCTGTGAAACAATGGGTCACCTCCACTGGTGCAGATTTTTCTGAATGTGGCATCCGGGCTCTCGTTCATTGCTGGCAGAAATGCATAGCTAACTGTGATGACTGTCAGAAATTGTGTTTTGCAGCTGAGAATTCGCTCTATCAAACAGTGCTCTTTGTATCTGTTGTGGTCTCCATGTAAATAAACAGGAGGTAACACTTTTCAGAGTGACTCACATATATGTCGAAAATCATACTAAAAGAACATTACAGATACAAAGTCAATCACTCAAAACTGACAACCTTCCAAGATTTCACAGACAATTGTATTTCATCCCCTCAGCATGCACATTGCACGCAGGAATGTGAATGACATGGGTATTTTTTTCTTGAAGCCACTTCCTCACTGAGTAGACAGAACAGACACTAATTACTATACACACAGATGTTCGTTCTTTTGTTTAATTCTAGCTGACCTCTCTGAGGCATCAGATCTTATTTACTGACCTGTTCAAGATTTGCTACAAAGACTGAATTACAAATGTCTGATGACTTTCCTGTCATGCCATCCTTGAACTACCTGAGTGATTTGCAAACAAGAAATTAATTCTCATGAAATTCATGTGACATTGTGAATGGGGTGAGCTTCCCCACGTTTTCACAGGTAAAGAGCAAAGGCAGAAGGAGACTACATAACAATAACCTGGAAAATTAATTTACTTAAATAATCATTGTTAATTTACTTTCCACCACATCTGTTCTATTTCTACCACCACATTATTGTTTCTATCTGCTAATTATTAAGTTATTTCTCTAAATTGTTGGAGCTTTGCAATGAATGGAAAGATATCTATTTTTAAGACAAGGGAAAAAGCAACACACTTCTCCTTAAACTTGTTTTCAGGTTAAAAAAAAGAAAAAAAGAAAAAGCTTTTTTTTCTCTGAAGCTTTAGATCCAAAAAATTCAGTGAGATGCATTCTCCCAGTGTGTACATTATCAGTCCAAATAACACATAGCTGACAAGTTTACAGGCAACAGGGCCTTGTGATGAAAAGTGTCAAGCAAGCTTAACTATAGCAGCATTCAGAGCCTCACCTATAATTAATTTCTCCTCTGAAGAGCCTGCCTATAAAGCAGATGAGGCAGGCAGTGCAGTGACTCTACATACCTACACAATAAAAAACTAGAGGTCTTATTCATTTCTCTGATGATCTGAAACAAACAGGCATCAAATGACTTATACCATGTAATCAGTGTTAAAAATCAGAGCAGAGTATCTGAATACAGTGCAGAGGCAAAAATGAACATCTAAACCCTCTTTCACATTCCCACACATGATGCAGTAAGTTGGTGAATCATAATTGCATAAGGAAGCCAGTGTGAAAAGCTTCACTTGCAAACAAACTGCTTCTCCCCAGCTAGCTAGGCTCTGAAGCAATACGTGAGTTTGGCCCAGCTGGGTTGCTGTGGTGAGTCATGGTGAGATGGTGAGATCTGTCTGGTAATTCTTGTTGGCTGTATCAGGACACTTCTGCAAGTGGTTGACATTATTCCATGAAGGAGAAGATAAGAAAGGAAAAGATATTGTCTTAATCTGCTAATGTTTCTAAAGCCATTTTTTCTTCTATTTGGTTCTTATGTACCTATGGACTGAAGGAGTAAATTACAGTACATTTCTTCAACATACCATTATGTATTGTATTCCAATACAGATGTAAGAAATCCTTGATGATTTAGAACTTTGAAGTACGCCACTGTACTCTGAAGAATCACAAAACAATACTAAAAGAAAATATGTCATTAGAATAATTGTTTTATCCCCCATTCCCTGGGGAAACAGAAAGAAACATATGAACAGTTAGTGTGATTTTATGGAAAAGAAGACCAACACATTCAACTAGCTTTTTTTTTCCCCCTATTCAAATCAGAAAAATATCTTTTAGCATTCATTTATGTTTTCAAGATTGTCTTGACATCTGTTCTTAAAAAGCACAATGAAAGACACTTTTTTCAACAAATACTGATAAAATACAGCAACACGCTGTTTTTCCTCTGCTCCAGAATTGCCAAGTAATAAAGATTTGCATGACTAAGCTTCTATTATGCTGACGTACGCAGAATTTAGGAACAATCATTCTTTCTGGTTTGACAGCACTTAGAAGAAAAACACTCCTTTCACTTCCCTCTAGGACAAGACCAGCGGTATCATTCAAACAAATCAATCTTTAAATGGACATTTAAATGCTGAGTTCTCTTAAGCAGAGACACTTGGATAGCAACCTTCTTATGTGAGCTAAAGGTCACTTGGGATTTGACTCACACTTTCAAACACACAGTATTTCATTTGGGATGTCTTTACACAGAAACTGCCACACCATTTGGAATCGACATCTTCGAACCAAAGTGTTTAAATAAGCTTCTTCAAGAGCCTTTACAAAACTCCTGAATCTCTGATCAATATATTGGATCTAAATAATATCCAATAAAAGCAAAAAACATTGGCAAACATTTTCAAACATAGTAATTATTGCTTTGAAACTAACCTGAAATACCTGTTGGCATACTTTGCTCTAAGAGCAGCAATTGAAGTCCAAAATGGCTTACAGTGACTGACAGGTGCCCTGCTGCCCTGGAAAATATTATTTATTAGCTAAACTTTAGGCTTAGATTTTAAAAAGTTGTCATCTTTCAGAATGAATTTTCTCTACTTGTTTACTCAGCACCTTATATCATATTGCACAATATATCCCAAGTTAAATTTCAACATAGATCACAATAAAATGTAAATAAAATGAAACTCTGGGCTAAGGCCTCCCCTGGTAATTAGGCACCATTTCTTATCTGGGCACCTAATCCATACCAGAACCTACATACAGCATCCATCTACTCAATTGGCCATAAACTGAAACGTGAGTATCTCCTACCTATCCACAACATACAAAGTTAGACACATCTCTGTCATTTCTACTGAAAAATTCAATCTACTTTTAAAGATAAAGCTGCCAGTTGCAAAACGTTTTGAAACTGGCTACCAGAGTATGTCATCTCTTACTTATATCTTGTGCAATCTCCCAGGTAAGGTGAACAGTCTGAAGAAGTCTGCAAGAAAGCAATTACAGGGAAGGCTTATGAAGCTCGCATTTGGAAAGATGTAGGAAGGGAACTAACACTCATTCTCTGAATTACTACACAGGAACTAGCAGGGGAAAGGAGAGAAAAAGGGCTGTCCAGTATTTGAACCAAACACACAAGGAGCCATTCCAGGCAGTACAGGTTTGCACGCTGCGCTCATCAGTTACACACATCAATCTCCAGCTCTTGGAAGGAACTAATAGACTTTGGATGGTGAGCCCAGCTCAGGTGGCTATTACAACTACTGCTAAACAAATTCTTAAGGTTACTAGAACTGTATTTAAAGCACTTAGATGGGAGGGAGAGGCTACTGTCGCACAGTTTGAACGCACAGCTAGTGCCAAGGCACATTTGACACCTTCTTGCTGTATTCTGGATAAACTTTCATTCATAGTTATCACTGGCAGCCATTTGCAGCTTAGTTCTGTAAGTAATGAACCTTAAACGATTGTGCTATCTGCCTCATTCCATCTGTTTACCTCTTCCCACTCCCTCCCTCTCAGAAAACTTTCTGAGCTGTTGGCCAACCCAAATTAGTGATTGCTCTGAGGGAGAAGCAGGCAGAGCTCAGCTGTTACACTTGGCAGCAAGCAATTGGCGAGCTCGTACTGGGCATGCATGGAGCTGAGCTAGAAAAAATGCATGCCCAGCTTTATCTCATGGCATGCTGTAGAATAAATGGGGAAAGGTTACGTGCTCTTAGAGGGAAGGGTACAAAGGACACACTAAGGCAACAGAAAGCACCTCTTCTGAGTTCCACTGCTCACAGACTGACTTCATTCAAGTGGTGATTTGATTCTCTCCTGTCCATTCTGTTTGCATTTGATGCGTATCCACTTCAACCATTGGTGACATTAGAAATGCAGTGGGAAAAATGCAGTGACAAAAAAGACAGATTTGCTTTTCTAGTCTCCTATCCAAAGTGACCTGAAACAATCAAAAGATGGAGATGGCATGAGAAATAGAAACAAAAACAACAAGAAGAAAATAATACATATCTAGAATAAGGAAGTAAGTCACAGAGCAAATCCCTCATACGAAATTATGCAGGAATGTACAAACCAGGATTGCTTTCTGTTTGTGCTTTTTACAGCAATTTGCTGAGAATAATAATTTCTCTTAAAACTCATCAGTTACTAGCAAGTATTTGGAAGAAGATACCCATTTCCCTCTTGTCTTTTCATTCCTTCCAGGACAACTATCATCAAATAGGGAACCTTTTGTACCAAGATTTAGGCTGAGAAACCCACACTCACAATCATAAGAAAATCAGATTAATAAGAATGGAATTAACCTATGAATTAATAATTTGGTAATACTGTCTTCCAGATTAATGTCTCTTGGATTATCTGATGAATGCTGCACTTAACTAACTTTCTTTTGATCCTCCTACAAGGGAAAATAGAAAGGATGTGATGGCGGGGGTGGAAAAATAATTATGCTTAAGAAGATGAGAGTATCTTATCCATAGTAGGAAAGTGAAGCTCAAATAGTTCCTTCACAAGACTCCTACTACCACACAGTGATGCCAATGTGAAGTTGTTTAGCCAGTTTCAATTTAGTAAGTGTTCTCATGCTCTTGCAACACCTGGCATATGGTGAATGTACCCAGACTTGTAAAAAACAGTGATTCATTGTTAATCATTCAGAAAAGAGTCAGAGAACCAAGGTAAAGCTGTATTTTCAGAAAAGCACATCTACACCCCAATTTTTATCTGTTTTATGAGAGAGAAATTGCAGGTGAGGTTAAGAACAGAATCTGGACCATCATTTATTTTTCAAAATTTTGGGGAGCAACATTTACTTAAACCCACACTTAGTCTCTGCAGTATTATGTGTAGTGAGCTGTGCATGTTCAGTGAAAAACATGTGCCTCAAACCATGAAATCAGAATTCAGCTGGAGATTCAGTAAGTGACCCCACAGTTAGGAAGATCTTCTGGCATCAACTGTACACTTTTTGGTGGTGGACTTCGTCTTAAATGAGTAACTTTATACACTGGCTGAATTGGATCTGCTCTATTTTGGACTGTAAAAGCTGAATTCTGATTTCATGGTTAGAGGCACATATATTTTTCAGTGAACTTGCACAGCACCTATCCCAGAAAAATACTAATGCGTATTTGCATATGGAACATTTCAAATAACTTTTTAATTGAAAACTTGCCACTTTACTTTCTCACCTGTAATTTTCCATAGTTAAATCTCAAGGTCTGAATTTCACACTTCAATAACTCAGACAGACTATTTTACCATTGGAAAAAAAAAAAGAAAGAAAAGAAAAGAAGGAGCAGCAGCAGCACGTTAATTGCTCATCTTGTTTAAAACCTCACCTTGTTTAAAATAGCTTCAGTGCAGCTCCAAGCTTAGCATTAGTGAAGGTCAGACCCAGCAATTCCTGCCACTTTCTTCCTGTCTCATCAGCTCTCTCTAGCACCACCAAAGAAGAAATCTAGAAGACAAGCCAGCCAGTGTGAGGTTGACCCTATGGGAAAAGTGGGCAAGCGCAGCACACAGAGAATAGGTGGATTGAGGAGGAGGATGAGTGGGTTTTTGATGAGTTGGGATGCAGTTTGGAGGGAGCACATAGTGGGAAATATGGAGAGATGACCTAGGAAGTGAAAGCATGCATAGCAGTGTAATGGGAGCCTGAAGCAAAAGGATGAGCAAAACCGTCTATTCGTTAAGCACTGGAGCAGACAACCTGCCCTGTGCTAACCCTGGAGTAGCACAGACAGGTCCTCCAGTCTTGCTGCTATTCCCTGTGAGAGCATAGCATTTCTGTGCCAAGTTATCAGTGCATCTAAGGCTCAAAGCAGAGCGGTTGCCAGGCTGCCCTTGGGAGCAAATGCAACAGCACCAGAAACTCTCTTAAAAATGTACGAGCCTTGCACTGGGAAAAGATCAGCTCCCAGGAGGCTACATGTCCACATACAGCAGTTACAAAATACAGAGCTAAGGATTATAAAATCTTGGACTATTTGGGAAGCTTTGGATGTGAAGCCATACTTTGCTGGTCTCAGCTTACTTCTGCTATGATCAGTAATGGAGAAACATCACCAAAAGTTAAACAATATTGTATATTGTAAATCCCGTTGTTGGGCTCCTCTTCATTACTGCACGATACAAATGGCAGCAAAGACACTGCATAAAAATGCCTAATTATCTTTTAATAATCTTGAAATTGTTTTCCTCCCCCTACTTCATCAGTTACATTAATAATACCATCAATATGCCAGAAGACAGACTTTAAGTGATATCTTAGCTTATTTTCAACAAATTAAAAGATGACAATGAATTAAGGTATTGTACACAGGCCAGGTATAAAGCTCATCCAGGCTCACAAAAGTGCTGGTAAAGATGACCACATTCAGTTTTCATGTGCAGAGCACTGGCTGTATTTCTTTGTATTTTGTTAACAATGCAAAATATTGAAAGCACTGTTTAAATCTATTTTCCAAAGAATACAAGAACAGTTGAAAAATGAAGAGACAGATTATGTGATAGGAACGAAATTTACGTTTACATCAATTATTCACACTGCACCTTTTGGTTCTCTGGAAAATGTAGAAAGCAGGCAAGAGTTACATGGGGCAAGACAGCAAGAAGCACATAAGGCTGGGTTTGTTCAAAATTGCTTCCACAAGAGAAACAGCCATAGGACTACCCAATCCAGCCTCACATCTGCTTCCAATTTTATAGTCTTCTGTGTCTTTGATGAAAATCCAATTTTTCCCAAAAGGAATTGCAGCGAAGTTGTGTAAAGAAAGGTCTATTGATAAATCTAATGGACCTTTTAAAGAGTGCGATGCTTCAGGGGCTTGGGGGTGGGAGCAGAAGGAATTTGTTTGTCTCATAATGTTGTGTTGCAGCTCTAAAGCTCTCTTTCTAACGTAAGAGGCAGTCTATTTGGCAGCTTATTTAGAGCAAGACTGAACTAGAGCCTTCAAGCTAGCTCCTTTTTTGTCACGGTCCCTAAGCATCTTAGGAACTCGCCTCCAAATAAGCAGACAGATGCAGTCTGAGTTTTTTATACTGAATGTCTTTAAGCAACGTGAGGTAGTGCATGTCCAAATTCACTTGACACCAACACATCCTCTTGACACCCTCCCCAAAGAAAGCAGCAAACAAATAGAAATATTTCAATGATAAAAAGTGCTTATTTTATTATGCTTCTTTTGTAGACTCTCAAGAAAATTCTCTATCCTACAAAGAGCTCTCCTCAGCTCTTCTGGTTATGCTACCCCTACCTATGTGCCAGGTCTCATTCCAACTACTTATACTGAGGAACTCTTGGCCCTTTCAAAGCTAACAGAGTTTTGCCACAGAACTCATCAGGGACAAGACAAACATAGCTCACATATCACAGAATCAGAGAATGGCCAGGGTTGGAAGGGACCTCAAAGATCATGAATCTCCAACCCCCCTGCCACATGCAGGGCCACCAACCATCCTTCCTAATGCTAGACCAGGCTGCCCAGGGCCCCATGCAATCTGGCCTTGAACACCTCCAGGGACGGGGCATCCACAACCTCTCTGGGCAGCTGTTCCAGCACCTCACCACTCTCTCTGTAAAGAATATTTCCGCCTGATGTCCAACCTAAAACTCCCTTCCCTCTTAAAACCATTTCCCCTTGTCCTGCTGTCACTCAAAAACTTCAGAGTCTTATCTGCCATCAGCCCACTATTTCCCCCTCTACAGCCTTGCTTTTTGAAACAGAGCCCATGCCTGACAGGCAACAGCGATCCTACACAAGCACAGCTTTCCAGGGCAACATGAAAGGTACTACATATTGCCATCCAACATAACAGGGCCAGAAATATGACTGGCGTAAGGGTACAAATAACACTGAAGTCAGACGACCTGTGCCCATTAATGTCAAGGCTTAATTTCAACCATTAAAAAGCGAACTGTCAGCTAAACTATGCTCTGTGAACTCTTGTGGGATTTCCTGCCTTCTTAAGTTACTCATGTGCAGTTTACCTATGAGCCCAGGCTGAATGCATGAATTGAAAATGAAATGCATTTCTAGAGACGGGATAAACTGCCTCCATTACACGCTGCCTCCACTGTAAATACACACGTTTATAAAATGCTTTTAGTGTAAAAGCACATCTGTCCCCCTAACTCACCTGCGTGGAGGAAAGGCACGGTGCTCACCGATGAGAAAAGGAAGACCAGGTGAACAACAAAACAAAGGTCTTTTTTCTAATGTAAATCTACGGAGCTTGTGCAAGGCAACCTGCTGCTTAAGAGCGACAAAGACGCATCCAAACAGCCCAGTAACTTTTTCTTTTCCGCAGCCAAGACAAAGCCATTAAGGATGCGATACTAGTGCTAATTTACTTAACGTAATTCCTTATTTGAGCACCTGTCTGGGGGTATGCGGAAGCGCTGGGACTGGATAATCCACTGAATGATCTTTAATCAGACAGTAATATTAGGTGCTAATAGCTCTGATAAAGGGGATGTTTAACCCAACTGTTAACACAAAGGCGTGTCTACCACAAAGACTGTTTCAACAATGCATTTGCCAGTCTCGTTAATTAAAACTAATTCCTTGCAGGCCACAGAAAACACAAAGTAAGCACACATGGAAAAATGTCTAGGTTCTACCATGACAAATCACATTAAAGGGGAAAAAAAAAAAAAGAGAAATTATCCCAAGGCAATGAAAGTTGTTTCAGAAAATACACTCTTTGGAAATTCTCATATTGTAAATTCAGAGCAAAGCCAGAAAGGCCTTTAATAGACTCTTTTAAATGTGTAACTATATATCTGTGGTTATGTCTTCTGACTACATCCTAGTCATTAAAAGCTTCTAATAAGTCAAATACAAAGCACTGAGCTTTGCTAAAGGTCCTGATGTGACATTTATTTACATATCATTCAGATAAGTGTCCTAGATTAGAGTGGTTGAAGTGAAGCAGCATAGTTTGTAAATCTCCTAAACAGGCTAGAAGGATTTTCTGCCTTTTTTTTTTTTTTTTTTTTTTTTTTTTAATATATATCTAGTGTGTAAATAAATCTCATCTATCTGTTTATCAGGCTGAGGAGAGATAGATGCTTAGCACCCTACATACAGCCTTCAGGCATAAAACTTCCACCTAGGTCAGCTGGAAGATCTTGATTAAGATCTTGACAGCTTATTCTTCAGAAGATTTTAGTTTTCTGAAAAGGGTTTGGGTTTTCAAATATACTAAAAGGAATAAAATACTAAAAACAATATGGGAAAAAGGCTCTACTTAGGCACATCAGTTCTAAACCAGTCCCCAAGAATATTTTTGTTCAGGAGGTAAAGTACAGCTAGTTCAACTCCCCACTTAATCTCCTTCTGGAGACTGTGAGCAGGCAATCATAGAAAATCATATTGGAAAATATGAAGTTGTTAAACATGAACCTAGGTCTCAAAGCTGCACTCAGATGTGATAGTACAGCCTTCCATGCCAAGACCTGTGAGAGTCAGACCCTGGAAGTGGTGAAGAAAAGTATAACCTCATAAGCATGCTTCAGCTATGTGCAGTGCTCAGAAACTCTTCTGGAAAAAGCTGAGCAGTGGACATGAGTTTCCAAGGTTCATATTTTAATGCCTTCTTGCCAGATGGTCAGTTGCAATTATGTATGTCTATTTCCAGGGTTAAGAAGAATAAAAGCCTTGTCGATGTGCTCTAGGTGGCCCTGCTTCAATAGGAGGTTTGGATAAAATGGCTTCCAGAAGCTCCTTCCAAACTCCTATTGGAAAAAAAAATATATATATATATATACACACACATATATATATGCAGGGCTAAAGAAGATGGTAGTCCAACTATTAACGCATACTTACTTTCCTCTCTAGGAAATCAAGGTAGGAAAATAAGTAGATAACTTTTGCTGAAAATGATGCATCAATGTGCCTGGGGCTCCATTCACTTTTTCCAAGCTAACCCTCACTCCAAGTAGTTGGTTTGGAATGTGAGAAATCTTTCCTTACAGGAATCTTGCAGATCTTTAGCGTTATCTTAATACAGTTTTGTTCAGTGAATTATGTATGAACTTGATACTGTTATTGATCAGCACAGGGAACTCCCACAAAAGTCAAAAGGACTTCAGTGCTCATGAGTAGCAAAGAATATCCCATTTAAAGGGATATTCTTCCTCTGGAGCACAGGGAAACTGCCATTAAAAAAAATGAGAAGTTATTCCTTGTGTGGAATTATCATGCTAAAAATCAGGAAAAATAAATCTCACTTTTTATTATTTGTATTATTATTTATTATTTTCAAATAGTGTCCACGGTGGAGACTGTTTTGTAGAACAGTTTGTCACATAGCTGTGCTAGTTAGTTTCCTCACTGAGATATGTCCAAAGCTTAGTCAGGCAAAACTTTAAAAACTCATTAGCAGAAAGCCAGGCTTTATTCTTTTATTAAGGTTTAGAAGCCAAGCACATCCTGGTTCTTTGTAAATTTATGGCCCAACATTCTATGAATTGTAAATCACTACATATATAATTATATTAGCTAGGCATTGAACTGAGCTATTTTATTGTTGAGAGGCAAATTCATTTCATGCTGAAGATGATTTTTTTTCCCCAAGAAAATGCACTGAAGCCACTGGCACTGAGAATTAACAGAATCATTAAATTTGTCAATAAGGTCATGCAAGTTTTCATGCCTTCTGGAAATAAACTTCTGATAGGAACGCTGATATTCATTAAAAAGTGTCAGTATTTTAGAAACTTAGAAAGCATCACAATTTTCCAAAGTACCTCCATTCAAGAACAGTCAAATCGTGTACTTTTTCTTGGTATCACTGCTGGTAAATCATGACTGGACTAGTATGACCACAAAGAATTATCTACCATGAATCTGTACTGAAACACTTCAAATAACAGATAACAGATGCCATATTTAGACAGCTGCTAATCACTGTGGCACAAGGACTTAGACATAGAGCATTTCATTGATAGTTAAGTGAACTACACCATTTAAATTGGCAGACATTCTCTTTGTCACTTTCTCCTTGGTTTTTACCAACATTTCAGACCTTTCCAAATTTTCTATGAAGCCCAGCAATAGATAGATCAAAATCTTGTCTGGCTTTATGCTTGACCGTTTGTCCAAATGCTTGTTTTTACACAGGGAATAAATATTCTTTCAGAAGAAACACCTCTTATTTTCTGTGTCTCTCTGTAATACCTCCTTGTTTTCCAGAATGTTTCTGATGCCATTCTCACATAGATCACTGTCATCAGCAAATCTGGTCACAGATGAACTTTTTCCAGAAATGTGCCCAGTCTACCAACATCATCAGAAAGCGAGTGCAATGCTGTTCAGGTTAATGAATACAGAAGCAAACAAACAAACAAACAAACAAACAACGCCTGTGCTTATAGGAGTGTTTTCATAAGGTTGGCACCATCAGTGAACTATCTTTTGCCTTAGACTGCCACAACCCCATTTTTCCTCCCTCTGTGACAGAGAACACAAACTGCTTGTTAGAAGATCTGAAGAATTTTGTTGAACTCTGGCTACTGGAAAAAGTCAGTAATGCCCTGATTTTCCTTCTTTTTCCCATGGCTCATTTTGGTTATGCTGTGTACTATTGATCCTAGGCTTTCCATTTGGATTCTCAACCAAACATATTTTCTCTTTCAGAGACTCGTTAGAAATTTTCAATTGAACCATCTGTAAAAGAAGGCAAAATTATAATGCAGGAAGATGCATAATACCAAATTATTCAGTTTCTAATTAATTTTGAGGGTAGAAGATACACATCTTTTCAGGTGCAGGTGTATCCATTAAAAGGTAAAATCCTGTAGAATTACAGGATTCCATCTGCTTTACATCCAGTTATAAACTTCTACTCATCAAAAAGTAACATACAGTGAGGACCAGTGCATGAGCCGTTCTTGTCAGAGAATGAATAATAGAATCATAGAATGGCCTGGGTTGAAAAGGATATCAAAGATCATCTAGTTTCAGCTTCCCTGCTGTAGGCAGGGTCATCAACCACCAGACCAGGCTGCCCAGAGCCACATCCAGCAAAGCAAACTTGATTTGTCTACCTACAGTCTTGTTTCTAGATTTTGTAACTGGAAGTGCTGGTGGAAATTTCCTAACACAGTGAAACACCCTAGTTAGAGACTAAGGATAGCAAGCTTCCTGGTTCTCCTGGCATCATCATACTGGGTGGGCAACTGGAGGCTCTGTGTTATTTTTGTAAATGATAAGAAATGGTGTGGAAATGGCTCAGTATTTACCAGATAAGCGTTACAGAATATACAGCAGACAAGGGTATTCTAACTGTACGCTGTGTGTTTCTCCAACTCAAGATGAAAGCGTTTCCCAAAGTCAATCTTTTCCTTTTCTTACTCAGTTATAGAATACAGCAACACGTAGCTTTCTTAAAAGAAAAGCTTCATTGATTGCAGCAATCATAAATAACACAAGTAACATTTTAAATTACAGTCTACACAAAAGCTTCTCTCCATAAAATCCTTTGATGGCTAACTGGTGATGCTGAACTTCCTGATGTACCCAGAGCTACCCCTGAACCTTGCTCCTTCATGTTGTGAAAGGGAGCATTTTCAATCCTGCCAAATTCAATTGTTTTTGTGAGTTCCTGGGCTTTTATCCCTCTGTCTAAGGGAGTCCCAAAGGCTCAGCGGGAGACAAAGGCAAGGTGCTTTGGGCTAAAGGTGCTGGCATTTTGTCAACAATTCCAAGGTGGCAAATGAATGCCTTATCTTAACTCATTCTTTCCTATGGCTTTCTGGGGGGAGGGAGGGTCGGTTGTCTAGCTGCTGGCTCTTTTTCCAGAAGCTTCAGTGAAGTAAAATCAACACACTCCTATAAGATCTAGGGCAACGTAAGGTGTTCCTACATTATTCCAACACTTCAGCAAAAGATTCCACTTTTCTGCAACCAAATACCAGACTTCTACTAGTATAAATGATAGAGGTGGTGGACTTGTGATCTAGGAACACCCAAGCCCGTGGGAACTACCAGTGAAATAGCAAACTAAACTACTGAAGATCACAGAGTTAGATGCACTGTGATTTATACAGTATATTGCATGCTTTGGCTGTGATTGTAATAGTTTTGATTATACTTGTCCCTTTTGATTTCTAATGTGTGATTTTCATAACCCTGGATACATCTGTGTGCAAATTGGTATCACAAACACACAGAAGTTGAGTTGAAAACTGCCACTGTTTTTCTAAGTGTGTATTATGAAAGCCACTTTCTTTTTTCCCATCCTGAACAGCAACATGAACATACAGATAGATAGATAGATAGATAGATAGATAGATAGATAGATAGATGTGTGCATATATATATATATGTGCATAC